GTAGGACTCCTCCTGGCGCGCCACACCTTGGCCGGCCGGCCCCCCTCCCTTGAACCTTTATATACGGAGGCAGGGGCACCCCTAGAGACACAAGTTGATCCACGTGATCATATTCTTAGTCGTGTGCGGTGCCCCCTTCCACCATAGTCCTCGATAATATTGTAGCAGTGCTTAGGTGAAGCCCTGTGACGGTAGTACATCAAGATCGTCACCACGCCGTCGTGCTGACGGAACTCTTCCCCGACACTTTGCTGGATCGGAGTCTGGGGATCGTCATCAAGCTGAACGTGTGCTAGAACTCGGAGGTGCCGTAGTTTCGGTGCTTGATCGGTCGGGCCGTGGAGACGTACGACTACATCAACCAAACGCTTCCGTTGTCGATCTACAAGGGTACGTAGATCATACTCTCCCCTCTTGTTGCTATGCATCACCATGATCTTGGGTGAGCGTAGGAGAATTTTTAAAATTACTACGAAACCCAACAAACACCATTCTCAAAGTTCTTGGTTCGAAAGCTTAATTTTTGTGAATTTTTTCTATTATATTATTATTCTTGTGTATTATAAAAAGTGCAATTTCTATGCAAATTGTATGCAATTTTTTTTCATATTTTTTACTTTACATTCTTCTTAAAGGGTAATACCGATGCCTTCTTACTGTATGCAAATTTGTCTTACATGACATCCCTTGAGGATGTTAGAGGATCTGGTTCCTTATGTTACACTAGAAGAACGCTCGTGCGTTGCAACGGGGCCACATTAACTTTAACAGTTCAATATCAATTATGTTAATATTATATTTAATATTCTCATACATATTAAGTGACATTGACGACCTTTTTACCATCAAATTCTCACCCTCTCCCTCCCTCTTCCTCACTCTCTCTCCTCCTCTCCCTCTCTCTCTCTCTAAGACACACACACATATCCATCTTATTGGGTACGGGACCATAATCCATCTATTTCACACGCACACACGCTAGTGCATAACAATATGGATTATGTGTATTATATTTTCCACCACAACTAAGGGAATTAAGTTCATGTAATCGGCCAGCCACAGCTCCATGACAAACAATACATCTAAATTCTCAGCGTTATTTTTATGTAACATTGGCGAGAGGTAAACGACGGTGATTGTTTCCTTTGTTTGTAGATTGATTACCATCCGTGAGTTGAGCTGGGTACTAAAGAAGAATCTGATTGTGATACGTGAATTGATTGTTGCCTTGTATGTTTGGTTTTGGTATTTGAAGATTGATTACCATCCGTTAGTTGGGTTATCAAAGAAGAAATCAATCACCATATGTAGAAAAAGGAACTACATTGCACATGCTTACACCTCATCTACTCGTGAGAATATATAGAATTGGAGCAAACAAAATAAGTGCAGACGAGAGATAAAACATCAATGAGGATCCCTAATGTCTTGACTAATATGTTGTCCTCCAGCTTGAGAAGCACCTACAAGGAAGGGCTAACATACAATCACGAGCCGCTCCAATTTATGACTCACACAACTTCATCTTCAACCTGTTAATGATGCTTGAACCTCAATGTACCATGTGGTACTGTTGGAGGCCATGATGACCTGGTGCACCTGTGACTCACCAACGTTCCATCATGCGCAACGCCTCCTGGAACGCCTTTGGCATCGCATGGCGGAAGGTAGGAACGCGTTAAGAGCAACTGAGGACAAACAACAAACAAGTGGCACCCCTCTTGTAAATATGTAACATTAATATCTTTTGTTAATTAAATGCAGTAGAAGCCTCTCCTGTCGTTTCCTCTAAAAAAAGAATGGCGCAATTGAATGGTGGTATCACACAATTCAACTCTTCACGGCAGCGAACTCCTTAATTTGCCTGGCCCTATTCTTATTCAAAAGGTTGTGCAACCAGGACCGGTTACTCCTACAATTTTGCTGTCGAGACACGACATATGTGATGCAGTAAAGCACATGAAAGAGATGACGCCGCTGACGAGATCTTGGCGATTATATGTAACATAATCAAGCGGTGCTAGCTCAACTTTAGTGCCAATCAGCATAGCCTATTTAGCCGGTATATTTAGATCAAGTCCAGCACCCCCGCATCGACGTCGCTGCCGTCTTCCTCAACCTTGGGCCACCGCAACATTGCCGTTCCATCCGCGCCGCCCCGAGCTCCCATGTCTTCCCCTAGGGCGCCATTGACACCGCCATGATCTCCTCTTGCATTTTCCCTGTTTCCCCTCACGTTTGCTCCCGTTAGGTATTTCGCCGTGGCCGAGGACCGCCGTCCGCCATGGCCATTGCAGGGGTAGCCACTGAGCTCCTCGGATTGACCCCGTGGCACATACCCGCTCCTATGCACGCCCATGCCCGAGCCTGCCGCTCTTCTTCCGTGCCCGCGGGGCCACTCCCTCTCTGTGCCCACGCCCGTGCTACACCGCGTCGGTCGCGCCTGCCGCTGCTGTCGCGCTCGCCGCTGCCACCGCACCACTGTGCCTCGTGCGACACACACCCTGGCCGCGCGCCACACTCTCGCTGGCTGCGCTCGCCCCGTCTGCTGCCGCCTATCCCTTCGCTCGCCCCGCTATCGCGCCCCTGCCTCGCGCCGCCTCCAGTCGTGGCCATCTTCTGCCGGCCGCCCCCTCAGCCACGTCGGCCGCATCTCTGCCCTCCACCGTCGGCCGCTCGCCTCGCCTGCTGCGTGCTGCTTCCTACTGCTATGCGCTGCTCTACCGCCGATACGCTGCTGCGCCATGCCCTCGACACCACCGTGGACAAATGTGGCGGAGGGGTTGTTAATGGAGTATGAGAAGGAGGTGGCGGAGAAGGTGTGGAGAGGCAGGAGGTCTGGGGTGGTGTCACCTGGTTGTGGTGGAGGTGTTTATGCAAGAAGGAGTCTGGAGTGGAAGGAGAGGTCACAATTGGAAATAATCGCAAAAAAAAAATCATAACCCGGAGATCTCATTCCAAAAAAAATGCTAATATCGATGGAGGGGTGATTTCCTTCAATAGGTGGAAAACATAGGAAATATTGGTTGTTATCAAGGAAAGGTAAAAAATTAGGAAAGTTAGGATTTTTGTACTGATTTGTATGCAAATGGGGTTTTATTGTTTGGTAACGTGATATCAGTACCTGCCCGTTTGTGACGTGTCTGATTAGGAAACTTTGCAAATGTCAAGAAACTATTTATTGGGAGGAAAGTTGTGACGTGTCTGTTATTTGTTTCCTAAAACAAATTTCACTAATAAGAGAAATCGATTGATTTAGATAAGTTAGGAAAGTTAGATTAAATTGTATTACTTGTTTTCTGAAAATCTGTTATTTGTTTTCTAAGACAAATTTAACCAATAAAAGGAATCGATTGATTTACATAATTTAAGGAAGTTAGATCTGTGATTTGTTATACGTTAGGAAAGTTCTGGTTGTAATAAAGAGTGGAGAGAAAAATAAACCGATGGACCATGGTGGGAGGGGGTGGTGGGAGGAGAGACGAAAAAAATCCAGCGAAAATAAACCGCGAAGACTATTCACCAACTCGTCCATTAGAAGTAGAGATGGGACTAGTAGTATTCTCCACCAAGAACTAAGAATAGCTCAGGTGGTAAACTGCCTTGTTGGTAGATTCAGTCAGTTCTTGAGTTGTAAAGTGGAAGTAAATCAAGACGTTTCGATAAGAACTAATGGCATGGATTAATATCTTAAAAAGTAACAGTGTCACCATTAAGCAAACTTTTTCTATAAATATAGGTCACGGATGTACGCATACACAGATCAGTTTTACTTATCACTACCCCATGATCGCTATGGCATGGTGCATGAAGAACATCGGCGAAGGACTGTTGGGAGCCAGCAAGGTGTTGATATGCTTGTGCCTCGTGACGCTGCTTGTCTTGTCATCTGGTACGAATACTTCGGACCCGCACTTCTCCCGAACAGAATGATCCAAGTTAATTTAGTGTTTTTTTTTTGCAAGTAGAAGTTAATTTGGTTGATTGTTAATGTGTATTGTTTTTGGACGTATGCAGAAGAGATGGGATCGGATGCCTGTGAAAAAGCTTGGAGCCAGACATGGGACAACGACACATCATGTATCTTCCGCGGCACCTGCAACAAGCCCTGTAGAAGAGAGAACTTTGACAGCGGCATATGCAAAGAAATAAATTATTGCATGTGCTACAGGAACTGCACCACTGAATCCATCTAGCCATATGTGTGCCATTTTCATGGATGCTCGATGGAAGCTATTGCTATGAGTTCATGCGTTATGAATGTAATAAATTAATTAATTTAAGCAGCTCTGTCCATCTATCCATGGTATAATAAAGGATAGATCTTGATGGGGCAATGTTCATTTGCTACAATGTTTTTTCCACTGTTCCGAATGCTCACTGGGTGAGAGGTTCTCCATTCAAATTGGCCGAAATGTCAATAGGTTTACAGCATAGGCAGTAGCGGAGCCATCCTTTTGCCTAAGGGCATCTCCAACGCCGACTCTCAAACAATTCTCAATCTATAGGTATTCCCCCGTCCTCTCCTCCCGCCGCCACCGGCCCTCCTGCCGGCCGTCGGCCTCGTGCCCCCTCCACCCCCTTCCGCCCCTCCCCCATCCCCCCATCATGTCCGCCTCGGGCCGCCTCCCGGGAGGTGGCCAGGGCGGAGCTCGAGCTCCTCTTCCTCGGGCCCCTCCTCCCCCGTCTCTCCCCCCCGCTGCCGCCGGCG